TTATCAAATTTTTGTCCCTTCATAAAAAGGATGTCTTTTCCTGAGCAAATCATCTTTTTATAGTTTAAAAAGAAAATTATTACCAACCCTCGCCAGAAAGTAACAAATCTGCCATTGTTTTCCAATCTTTGATCATTGGATTGGTGTCAATAAGAGCATCAACAAGATAAGCAGCATGATCATGGCACTAGAATGGATAAGAAGTAGCAAGAAAAAATTCTAATATTAAACAAATTAAAAAAAAAAAAACAGAATTAAGATGCTAACATCGCCTTCCACAAAAAATTGAACGAGATCAATAATTAACTGCTTTGAATTGTCGTTAGAACGATTTTTCTCTGGTGCAAGTACTTGTAGATTTTGGAATACCTGTAAATTATCCAAGATACATTACATTTACGCATGCATAGACTGATCATATTAAATAAAATTTTATAATTCCAAATTAATGAACATACAGCATTCTTCATTCTCGTTTTTAATCTTTAAAGCTATATAGATTGTACATCAAAATTAATAAAAAATTCATCCCGCCAACGGCATATAGAATTTTTCTAACTTACTTTTGTGTTTAGAAACTCCCCAGCGGCCTGAGCCAGACCACGATGATTACAGTACACCATTTCATAAATAGGTACACAATCTTTTAATGTTAAAGCCGTTGGATAAATACGATAGATCTCTGTCAACAACTGACATGCGCGTACTGCAACATCACTATCCTTATCCAACACCATAGTAACAAGGCGATCCTTGAATTTGTTCGTAAACAATTCCAATTTTTGTGCCATGTGCGGTTGGCTGTATAGCGGAAGAAGTGCCAAAATACATTTCAAACGCACATCACTAACCTGAACAAGGAAATTAGAACAATAATACATGTCTCAATATATACCATTCCAAAATTCTACCTTATCATATAAAGACCAGCCGATATATTTAAGATATGAATCTTCAAGGAAATGGTCTGGATAAATCGACATCCACTGACCAAGTTCATTTATGCAGATACTTCGGATATCTGGTACAACATCACTAAAACATGCTTGCTATGTAAAAGAGAAAGTCTAATCACTTCCTATAAGGGAAGAAATAAATGCAAGATTAAAATTTTATTCCAAAATTTCATCAATTATAAAAATTATTTTCTAAGATCAAAAGCAATTCAAATTTGAATTAGTTCACAACTATTATCAGGTGAACTGTGTAGTCAAAACTTGATAAACTTGATAAAACTCAATATGCAAACAGATTTCACATACCGGTAGCGATGTACAAAGACACTTTTGAAAATATAGGTTAGCATTTGCCTGATATCCTCAGTTTTATCATCAATCTACAAAAAACAGGAGGAGTAAATTATTTTTCTGATTAATAATAACAGTCACCAATGTCTTGATTATAAAAGACGGTAAGTATTGCATTGAATGAATTGATAGACCAGATACAATAATCACCTTTAAAAGCCCTGCACTTCTGATTTAAAAAAAAAAAAATTATAAGTAACGAACTTCAGCTTTTTTGTTGATTAATACATCAAGACGACTATTTGGTCCTTCGGCTCTTAACTTCGCTTTTTCAGTTTCAACCTACAAAATAAAATCAATAAAGAGAATAAAAATAAAAAAATAAATTGATTATCCACGGTATACCTGTTTCATATTCTTCGCTTTAAGGTCCACTAATTCCAAAGCAACATCTACAAGTGCGGATGATAATTTCATCGCTGAAACATGTACCCAGTTAAATGTGGAAATAATATATTCTACTTTTTAATTAGGTAACTCACAACAAATGTTTTGTTAGTACCAAAATCGATTAAAATTTCAAAGGCACAAGATAACTTAGATATACCCAAGTTGCGACAAAACAAAAAGGGGAAGAGTTTTACCATTAACAAATCTACAAGCAAATGTTTTATCTCCTTTAGTGAAAAATTAAGATAAAGTTTAGGTTGGAGAGTTCTTGAAAGGAACTAATCCGATGCAAACCTATAAATGTAGATGTATGTCGAAATGCGCGCACCTGGCTGTCAGCCAGACCAGTGAGTAGCTGGATAACACCATCCATCAACCGCTGATCGAATACATAACTTGATTTGCATTTATTAACCAAAAGCTACAAATTTAAATGCAATTAATAAATATGTAGACTCCTCGTGACTATTTTCTTACTAAGTAAAGCCTAATATTTTCTGGAGAAAGCTATTTTAACACAAACTTATGAATGTAAATGTACACGAATTTAGCTACCATCTAAATCTGTGAATAGTTGAACAGAATGATTTCTCTACAGCTTCGAAACGAAAAATAAATTTCAATAAAAGTTTGAAAGATTTAAAAGAAAAAATTACCAAAACAAAATCAGCAAGTGTTTGTTTGAATCTCTTCCACAGAGGTCCTGGCATAATCAAGGGATAGTCTCCAGTATCTTCATCAAACTGATCTGTCATTTGGCGAATTATTTCACTACAATTAAAACCGGCTTTAGAAATACAAACAATTTAGAATCGTGATTTATATCAAGTTTGAATAGTGGTTTCACCGCTATTAAAGGATGTAAACTGTAATCTACGAAAAAGGTAGACTAAGGAACAACCATAATTCCTACAAATTATTATTCATTTAAATCACAAAAAGAAAACATGGCAAAATCACCTATACTCCATAGTTTGTAGCATAACGGATGAAATAATTCCCTTGCATCCACAACATGAGATGAAGAACTGTTGCAGTTGTACAAGAGCATTATCCGGATGTCTCTCATATTCTTCGATCCAGTTATCAATTACTGTCTGAAATTTACTTTCCTTAGCCAAAAGACATTTTGGTTTTACCATTACCGAATTAAAATTTAGTCTTGACGGAAATTACATCGTATTACTATCCGTACCGACGGAAAGACCTTACTGAACATTCACATTTAAACAGTTTTGTTTTTACATTCACATAACGAAAAGACTCCTTTTTGATACTAATTGTAAATGAAGAAAAATTATTACATGCAAATTCTTGCCGCTTTTAACCATGCTGAGCAAACTGCTTTCATCGGCATCTTCTTGAGAATATGTGCCGCTTGTGCGACGACCAACACCTCGGGCCCGAGAACTGCCTCGAGGACGTCCCCGTCTACCCTAAACATATTATAAAATGATATTTATTCAGACAAAAGCCTATTATAAAAATGATAACATAAAATAGAAGAAATGAAAGCACGAGGAAAGGCCCAACAGTGGTTGGTGATTCAACCGATACAGCGACACCTTCCTCATACAATCGACGTTTTCGACCACGCGTGCTAAGCGTTGGTGTTCGAAACAGCGAGTCTGTTGACGATTCCATATGAAATTCGGAATTCTGTTGTTCATCTTCTCTAAAATACTGACTCATTAAAAAAGAATTCCATCAAGCAATTAGTTCTGGAGATTTTTTAGCTGTGAGGATCTCTCTCTGCTAAGAAATACATCTTCAATTGTGTTGATAGACAAGCCATCACGAAATCTTACGTACAATGAAAAAAGATATCGTGACACTTTAACTCATATTAAAACAGAGATATAAGTCAGTAAACAAGAAAAAGCAGGCAATGTGAGTAAATTTTTAATCAAAGTGTTAAACTAACAGTTGATTTAGCATTTTAAAATCAGCTAGCTTTCATATAATGCAGGTTATGTTTTCCTGTAGTATATTTATTCCAATGTATGAAGATTATATAATAAGTAAATAAAAGCAGCGATTTTTGGATCACGGTAAAGCGCTGTATACAATCATAAATTATAACATAACGCTACAACGAAAAATAACTTACGAGGAGACATGTGACAAGCCCATTGAGCTAGCGGTACTATCGACGTGTCCCGAGACAGGTGAATCCACGTAGTGCCTCGTAATTCCACGAGTAATCATGCGGTAAGCCGTCTGTTCTTCTTCCATTTCTGCTGAAATACTCACTATACTATTACTCGAACTCGGGATCAACAGCTGTAACAACGCGACCCGCGCAATGAATTCGCATCTCATTTGCCGCCCATCGCCAAAGAGCTGCCATCGATGTTCGCGACAGGCAACATCTCTAGCTTAACACTCCGTGCCACTCTCTCTTCTCCCTGTCCTACCTCTCCCTCTTGCAGAGTATATAGCACTGAAAGAGGAAAACGTTGGATGACAGTTGACCTTCAAAAAATAGGAGCAGAGGGCAACTTAAACATTGATAGACATATTAAAACTGCATCAGGTATGTTTGATTAATACCCATGTGTATAACGGTTGGGAAAAATGGTAGTACGGTTTGATTATTTGTATTTCCTCACTGCCAGATTGAGGAACTGATAATTCTTCCTAACGATGAATATAAAATTAATGACAGTTTTCTCACTTCTCATTTCCATAGTTTATATTTCGACAAAATGGAAGGGAAATTTTAAATGGATTAGAGAGAAAAATAAAAAGAGAAAGCTTCCTATCTTCATATTTCAATGTCTGCTGACAACACAATACTAAGATTGTTGAAATCATTGGAGATAATATTATCAAACTTGTGCAGTGATGTTTGGTCTGTTCTATTTCTGTTAAGTCCTCCATCATTTTCAGTTATGTTTACTTTTATAAATGCGAAATGAATATGATCTCTTTTGCCCTTTTTATTCCTTAAATATCATTCAATAAAATTTTAATCAACTATTTTTATTCTCCGATGATCAGCTTGTCCAATATTATCATTTGCCATATAAATTTAAAAAAATCCATTCCAAATTCGAAACTTTTTTTATAATCAGAAAGCAAAATGCTATTGAAAATGCTATTGAAAAAAATTTCGAATTTGGAATGGTTCAATAGCAAAAATGCTATTGAACCATTCCAAATTCGAAATTCTTGTTATAATCAGAAAACAAAAATGCTATTGAAGTGTTATTGCACCATAACTGCAATTTGCATATTCGAAATTGGAAAGCTATAAAATGCATTTCTCATTTCAAATGTTGTCTTCTTTTTGACTTCTGCATGATGTAAGCAGTCTTGCCATTATTCCTCTCAATTTATATGCGTATCCTAAACTTTTACATCGAGATTCTGCTGTTTTTAGGGAAAATCGAGAAAGGAAGCCGGCAATAAACTCAGTGAATGACATTCAACTAGAACTACTCAAAATATTGTATAATTTGCCACCGGATTTTGAAGCCGAAGTGAAAAATGCGGAGAAAAGAAGTGGTGTCAAAAGAGAACATGTATGCTTCCTGAAAATTTATTTAGATTTCAATAAAACTTGAAAATATATTGAAATTTTAAGGTTTCAAAAATTCCAACAAAAAATTTTAGAAATTCATAATTTCGAAAAGTACCATTTTTGTAAATTCACAGAATAGTGAATACCAGTTAGCTTCATTTAGTTTATGCCTTACTATATTCATTAATTGATTTCAGTTTGTTTATGGCTTATCAGCTTTTTTGGCTGTATATATGATAACTGGCAGTGAAGCTGGTCTCTTGTGCAATATCATCTGTTTTACTTATCCAGCCATTGCTAGCATTCAGGTGTATACTTTCATATTCAAGATTTTCCTTTCATTTACATAACCTCTGTAAGAAGTATGTTTGCATTAATTTGATCGAACTATACAAATTCCACACAGTCGATAATGCATACTATTTTTATTTAAAAAAAGAATGATAAATTATCCTTTCATTTTCGATTATGGAAAAGAAGCAGACGGACAAAGCATTTTCATTGCTACTGTATTGGATGGTATTTGCATCCTTCACATTCACTGATTGCTACGCCGAACGAATAATGAGAATTTTTCCTTTATATTGGATCGTTAAGGTAATGTAACTTAATAATCCACCACAGTCGTATTGAAAGAAGTTTCAGTTTTTGCAATACTGAAAAAATTGTTGAAGCCGCTAGAAAGTTGCGTAAGAGACCAACCAATTGTTTGTTTTGACCTTTGAGCACTATCTTACGACACAATATTAATTCTTCATAACAATGCAGTCATGTTTTACAGTGCATCTACTGCATGTATTTGTATTTGCCACAAACAGAAGGTATAAATATCATGGAGGAAAAAGTCATTCTACCGGCATTGCAAAAATTTGCTAAAAGTCGAGCAGGAAAAGCTCCATAAAGTATATTAACCGTAATCATTATAGTGGAAATTGACTTTTGTCGGTATTTATTGGTTTCTTCTAAAGGATTTTATTCTTCATTATACTTATCCTATATTTATTATAAATAAGTACTAATAAATTAAAGCCAAACATGGTACTAATTAAACTGACTGCGACCTTTTATTTATCATAAAATATAGATATATTTGTGAGTACTTCCTAATGAATGCAAAAAGACAAACTACTTCACATCATGAATTCAAACTGAAATACTTAACAATGAATGATCAGTAAAGATTTTATCGTTGCTAAAAAAGTGATAGCTTGACAGAGTTAAGTTTCTCGAATAACATTCTAAATTCTCAAGATGTAATGAGTCAGCAAAAATGATAGAAAACAGATGGTAAGACGAAGTTTGATTTCGAACAAAAATTGAACCTCCTTTTGCTCAGTAAGATAAGAAGCAAACCATTCTTCTGTGCCAGTCTTGCATTTGAATGCTTTGCTTATGTAAATTTTATTAAATTAGAAATGAAATCTCTAATCTCTCTCTGCTTCTAAATTTTATGTTAAATCAGAAGTGATTGTCCGTTCTCTTTCATTGGACTGAAAAATAATCAATTCTCTTTCACACTTCATATTTTTCGTGGCATTGCACAAAGAATGATTCATTTTGTTGTGTTCGGATTGGATTTCCACTTTCTGCCAACTGTTATTTCTTTTAAAAAACTATTCTGCCACTTGCAAATTTTTTGTTAATCGAGCTTACTTAGTGCATTATAACTATCTGTCCTTTTTTGGATTTGTAGTTTTGATCATATTATGTAATATTCCGGTAGATAGCGATTTACTGTACACAATCATACCACTGATTCATCATGTACTTAAGCACTGTGAAATGAAAATATAGACGCATGCGACTTTTTAGCTGTTTTGAATTCGCGAAAAGTGAAGAGAGTCAACATTGTACAATCTCGAAAGGATACTTTCATTGTAACTGTCAGATAGAAAGTAAACTGAAATTATCATTTTTTGTTGAGTGTTATTGAGAATTATAATGAAATTAGACTTAACAATGAATTGCCTGTGCTTATGCAATTATTATATCAGTGATGTGCTCATATGTCTAGTTATTTGCAAATTAAAGAAGGTATTAGTTTATCCAAAAAAAGCTTTTCATATTTAAACAAGAACAGTTTAAAATCTTCCTTCCTATCATTTACTATCATTTCTCTTAAAAATTTGAGGAAATGAAATGATTTCGAAATATTTTAGCAAATTTATATGCGTAATAACAGCCTAAAAGTATAGAATTTGGGAGTTGACATGAAGTCAGCTTGGACAGCCAACATGATATCTGTCTTAAGAAAGATATCTGCCAGTATCCTGGAGGGAGTAGGACCATTATTAGATCTCTCGGTTTTCAGATCTTTCCCGACAGATACCAACTCCACTCATCCCACACTATACCAGTCTAACACTGCGAGCCCCTTCAAGCATACGTTCGGCCCTGAGGCCAAACGTATGCTTGAAGTTTGCATTTTCTTGTTGATTGTTAGCGCCGCTCGTATGGATTCGAAGAGTTTGATTAAATTATTTTGAATTTTCATGAAATTTGATTAATTTGGAGATAGTTGACATTTTTAATTCATTACAGATATCACAGGGAGATATGTCTTTCTTTCCCTTGAATGCATTTATTGGCTTTGCTTGGAATTTAAGAGATTTTCTGCAGTTTATTGGCAACGTTGACTTTTTTAACATTTCATTTTACTTAATATTTAAATAATTTCATCGTTATACTACGTGGCAACATTGAATGATTGTATCAATTTTAAGCATGCGATGGGTGTTGCTTCGTGTAAGGTGTGTTGCGTACGGTAGAATGCAGATTTGTTCTTAATCGTTGCGCTGAATAACAAGGAAAGCGAAGAAAGATGGTGCTAACAGCTGTGCTCTCTATGGTTCGCTATATTGGCGACATAGATGATTGGGATTTCGTGGATCGTTTGCATAGCTATTTCACTACAAACATTCTTATTGCATTTTCTATCCTCGTTAGCTTTAAAGTAAGGCTTTTCTCATAACTGAAGCAATAGTTTAAAGGTCATTTTAATCCTTACATAAAATCGAATTTAATTCCATGAAATATATTTATTGGGTAATAAAGTAGAGAGCTTTCTTTGCCACTAGAGTGCTTCATTTTATTACTCATTTACTTCTCTCTTAGATATTAATCATTACACTTATAACAAAAGGAACATCAGATTTATCTCTTCTATTCTAATTTAATTTTTAATTTTATGTTTTATCACTATTGAATTTTTAATTAATTTTAGCCTTAATATTTTACTTATGACACATACTAAATTTAACAATGTTATGCTATAATAGAAGAATTTAGAAGGTGTTTTCATGTCAGGCCTTTCAAATTCGCAAACATTAACTTTCCAGCTTAATATTTATGCTGGATGATGCTCCTTTCTTTTATTAATTATTATTTGTTTCGTCTCCATTTCAGCAGTTTGGTGGAAAACCTGTAGAGTGCTTAGTGCCTGATATCTTTAGTGGATCATGGGAACAGGTAAGCGTTGTTCTGACTTACCAAAATTTTTGAAATAAAAAAAAGATATTAAACTCTTTTTACGTTATCTCTTTTTCTTCTTTCCGCAACAATTAATTTTTTTTACCATTTGGATTAAATAATCATGCTATCAATTTTTTTGCAGATATAAATGTCATATTATTTCTCACTTAACTGTACACATGATATCATGATTTTTTTTAACAGCTGCTTACTGCTCATGTAATCATGTTGGACGCATATTCTCCATCAAATTAGTTGTTTTGTATAACTCCTGATATGCCTTTATATGTCTTTTGTGGTCTGTATTCAATGGGTTGATTATCTGTTTTAGTGAATTTGGATAAGATGCGTAACCTAAACATACTGTTTAGAAAGCCTAAGTTTTAATACTTCAATATTCATGTATACTTAAGATGATTATAGAAAATTAGAAATTTTTCAAAATATTCAGTACTTCTAAATTACCAATTTACTTCTACATTAAATGTTGTAATCTTTTTGACGCTATAATGGAAAATAGGGGAAGATTTCAGTTAGGCTTCATCATATATATAGATATATATTATTATAACTGTTCTAATTCATAATTTGTTGTGCAATTCTAAGTGACTTATTTTCCAAATCGTGGAATTTTTTCTTTCTCGAGAAATTCAGGAAAAGCATTCATGCTCTTTTCTGTTATCTATCATTAAATGGTACACGTTCTGTTATGATTCATGTCTGAATTGGCTGATGTTTAACAAGTCTGTAGGAGAATAAAACAATCAATTTTTGTAGTATGCAGAGAATTATTGCTGGGCTCAAGATACGTACTATATACCAATACGTGAAGTGGTTGCTGGTATACCAACGACGGAGAAAAAACAACGACGTATATCTTATTACCAGTGGGTACCATTCTTTTTATTAATTGAAGCAGCCTGTTTTCGATTGCCTAGTCTTGTGTGGAAGTATATGGCTGGACATTCTGGTATGTTTTTGGTTGTACATAAAGTTATTAGAAATGATTTCATAAAATTCGAGTCTATCAAGTTTTCATAGGATGTATGTTCATTTTAAGTTAACATCGGATAATGCATGAGCAAATGTTTCTTGATACAGAGTGTTTGTGAAATGCTCATCTTGAGAGATTTTCAATGCCTGGATTTTCCTGCAAAGTAACGATTAGTTTTAAGCATTCCTGCATAATATAGGGTTATACTGCGATTCTTATTCATTAAGGTATCAAATTGCACGAAATTGTCAAATTATCGTCAGATCCGAACAACATCAAACCGGAAATCAAAAAAGCCAATATTAAATCACTTACTCTACACTTACATGTATGTACTTCAATAATCTCCTCACAATTTAATGAGATTTTTTTATTATTAACTTTATCGAAATTATTTTAATGATATGACAGTCAAAAGTAAAATCTTTATTAGCTGTAATTTTTAAGATCTTATTTGTTTAGGGAGCTTTAAGATTTCATCGAAGATTACGGAAGAAACAAATTGATCCACATCGTTATTTAAGAATCTTCAATATACCTTACACAGCTTCATTTGTCACTTATACATATGTATTTTCCAAATTCCTTTATCTAGTCAATGCTTGTATTCAGCTGTTAATCATGAACAGGTTGGTTAGATCATTTTTTAAATACAAACTTATGAAAATTTATAATAATATACTTCTTAATATTATTTTCCAAATTCAGTTTGGCTTATGATTTCTTTTTTATGTTTTTGCCTACTCTAAAACATTGGTATTACTAGATTTAAATTTTTATTGCGTGATATGTCAATTTTTTAGGTTTCTTGAGACAGACCGTTACAATTGGTACGGTTTGGGGGCAGTACTTGATCTTCTGAACGGTACAACATGGGAGAAGTCGGGGATGTTTCCACGAGTGTCATTATGTGATTTTGATGTAACCATTTTTTTAATTTCTATTCGTTATCTCTTCTGCAGCAGTTAAAAAATACATTCAAACTGACCATCTTTTTTAAACAGATATTTTCAGATTCGCGTGATGGGAAATATTCAAGAGCATACTATACAATGTGTCCTCGTTATTAATATTTTCAATGAGAAAATTTTTATATTTTTATGGTTTTGGTATGTTGTTAGAATCATAATGTTTTCTTATTTTCTACTTTATTGTGAAAGCTTTTGGGTTACAAGATTATTCCTTAAATTCAATCTTTATATGTGTTTGTTAATTTCACAGATAAAGAGGACCAAGAACATTCATCCTAAATATCATTTTCATACTTATCTGCAAAATTGTTGAGATATATTACAGGTACTTGGCTTTAATAATTTTTACAACTGGTAGTCTAATGTTCTGGATTGCTGTATGTTTAGTGCCATATCCTAATCGAAATTTTGTTACCCGTCATCTAGAAATGAGTGAATTGCCTTTCGATGCTCAAGGTGAGTATGTGAAGTTGTCACTTCAGGTTTTCGTGACTTAAGCATTTCTAATTATTTACTAGATGAATTATCCTTGATTAGTTTTATTCCAATTTGTGTTTATTTAATAAATAAGAATATAATGACGCTGTATATTTAGTCAAAATGTGGTATGGCTTAGATTTCAGAATTTTATAGAAAACAAATGTTTTTTACTTAATATTTGGATATATTTGCTAAATGAAATCTTATTCATCCAAGATGTTTTGTTATAATCAAGAGCAAAAGGTTTGCCTTTACACCGCGTAACCAGCAGCATATACGTTTCTTAGGATTACTACTGAAGGACATAAATCAATAAACATTTCAGTAAATAACGGCTTCGCATATTCGAATGGAATGAGTCACTTAGAAATAATTTCATCATAGAACCGATTCTGATCGATACCAGTAATTTGTAGACAGCGATGAGGATGTGGAACGATTTATAAATAAGTACCTAAAAAGTGATGGCATGTTTGTGATCCGGATGATAACACTCCATTCTGGTGTTATTTTTGGTAATGAACTGATATTTGCATTATGGAAATCATATTTTGGTATTGAACCGCATATGCGGCGCTGCAGCTCTTTTCCAGCTAGCACTATGGTATGGTCACCACCTGCAGGTATCACTTTGAACTTATTTTCACCGTGCTGATTGCTAATTTTCAAATGTTTACACTCTGTAGAATGATATACTTTCGGTATGGATGTTTGCTCTAAAATATATGTGAGGAATTCAATGGAATATAATGCCTAAGTTGGACTGCATATTTATTCCTCACACAATGGTCGACAGTGCTTATGGGATGAAATGTTAAAGTAGATTTGAAGTAATTTTCCATAAATGTATTATGAATTCATGGAAGTTTGATTAGAAAATTGACATTTTTAGACAAGCAGCTTGGCGATCTTGATCTTAGTGAGTTCGATAATGATTCTAACTTTAAATTGTTCCAAAAAAAGGTTGTTGAAAAAAAGAATGATCCAAATGCGATGGAGACAACGTTAGATGCCACAAAAAGTGAAGAAAATCCACTGTTATTTACAGAAAGTGAGTATTTTTAGATTATATTAATTAGGACTTAGAAATTAAGATAATTTATAATTATCTTAATTTTTAAGTCCCAATTAATATAATCTAAAAATATCTAGTTTTTGTCAAGTATTTTTTTTCACTTCCCTTACTTTTATTATTTTTTATAGTTTTTATAATTTTTGAAGTTAGCTCAACAAGTAATAATTTTAAGACTTCAAAAAATTTCGTAATCTTTTGATTGCCCTCCCAGGTCGTAATTAAGCACTGTTTGTTCATTTATAAAATGAGTCACTGAACTTTTGGAAACATTTTGATGCTATTTCTTTGCTTATTACTCATTATCGTTTACATTTCTTTTCTCAAAATTTAATAAACTGGTTTAGATTTATATTATTTTTGTCTCTTCTTGAGGGATATAATGCTTGTGATAGTTTATAAGGTTCTGAATGTTTTAGAGTCAACTGCTCCCACGCAAACCTTCAGAAGCAATTCTCAGAAAAAACCAGTAAACAATGAAAGTTGTTTAATTCAACGTACGGCTGTTTCATCTCACCCATCTTCTACTTTCAACAATCCATCAGAAAAAGCAAATTTTATGATTTGACATTAACCTTCAGTTATTCGGAAACTTTAACACTTAGCCCATTCACATTATTGGGCTTATATTATCCTGCAAAAACTGGTCATGATGCACCTTTTTTATTATATCATTCATGAACTTCTGTGATATCCAGTACTCTAAATGAATATCCAGAATGACCAACTTGTCTGTTATTTTGTCTACAAATCTGATGTGCTTTTTAAGTAAACCGAGCATTTTGTATTACGTTGTGGTCTCAATACCAATCTAAATCTGTTCACTAAAGATATCCAAAATGACTTCTTAATTCAATTCACAATTGCGAGCATAAATTTAGCGTCGAATATTTTTCCACGATAACATTTTCGATATAAATTTAGTTCTTGATTTATTTTGAATCTATTTTGACCAGGTTTTATTTCGATCGTTAATGTAATATTTCGTTATCCTTTAGTGCACTATTCTTAACATTGCGGACTTTCTGTAAATGTATGAATTTTGCGTGTAGCAGTTTATTGCCGATTCGAAAAAAGATACACGGTGTTTACATACCAACGGATACTAGAAAAAATTGAAAATTTTAGTCCATTTAGAATGTGAGGAATAAAGCGCTGGTGAGAAACGCTTTATTGGCTAGGTAAATATTGAAATGAAAACACAACCATTATGTTTTCATGAACTTTGTCAAGGTTTTTAATTCCAAATTTTAAAGCCTTTAGATATTTTTGCTACCTTTGGCTTTATTCGATAATATTTTTTTCTCCGATGTGTCTTCTTTTTTTCACTCGCTGAACTGTATAATCCTTTGTTCTGCATAATCACTTCATACTATTTATTTTGCATGTTAAAGGTCAGTTATTGCGTGTATTATTGTTGGAAAAGATTTCACGGATAAAAATGTTCATGTGCATTATGCATTAATACTATTTTCGCACGTTTTGAGCCAAGTAAAGCATGTTTTTTCCTGTTTGAAGAGGTATCCATTAAGTTAATTTCTTCCCGAGAATTCCATATGGTCCGGTAAAATTCTCTCAAGTTTTTGCAAATTCTACATTATATAATTCGTAAATTTGCCTGTTTACATTTGCCATCTTCTTGCGGTTATGAAACTGATGAAAGTATGGGAAAAGAAATGCATTCTACTAAATGATTAGTGATAAATACGGAATTTATTAACATATTATAATGAGATTTGCATAATTCAACCATGCATAAAATCTTGATTATTCCAAATTGATTTATTGTTAGATAGTATTTCGAAGAAAAAAGTCAGATTGTGAGCTATTCAAGAAGGCTCACTGCTGTGAAGAGAAATTGTCTGCAAGTAATTACAAAAGAATCTTTACAACATGTAAGTATGCCTTAAAAACAGGAAGAGGTGCGTTATCTATTCAGAGTTAACAATTTTATTCCTAATTATTGATTTATTTCGGAAGTTTAGAGCTTATCCGAATTTCATAACACTTCAGAAATTGGTTCGATGAGTTTTTTTTCAAGAGATACTTTCGAACATTCGATTTCGAAATCCCGAGAAAAAGAACGTCGATCGACAATATCCCATGAACAATCATTTGATTCAGAAGCGGAACAAGCAAAGAAAGGAAGGTTGTTAGAGCGACATCATCAAGATGTGGAAATCCCAAAACATCCAAGTAATGAGGAAAGTGAAGTGGTATGGGTTTGATTGAAATAAACTTTTTGAATTCATTCAGAGAAAACGATCGATGTTCAAGAAAATTATCGGGGGTTATTCATGATAGAACCATATATTGCTGTCATGTGAAGGTGATTTAATTTTTCGTAATATCTAAAATTTGTTAGAAATAATGTGCTTGCTAGTTAAGTCACCTATAACGTTATCTATTCTTTTCAGACCAAATTAGCACGTCAAGAAACGCTTGAGTATTGTCGAGATAAATTGATCATTAAACCGAAGAAAATACCTTATGATCAGAAACAGGTTTTACCCTATTTGAAGTTGTGCTGTGATGAGAATCTCTTCATTTTCTTTCATGACAGCTTTGCGGCAATGCATATTTATTGTCTTTTCTTTTCCAATCCGTCATTAGAAACTGATTTTGCAATTATTCGATTTTCAGATTACGGAGTTCAGCTATTAAATTAAACTTTTTGTGATGAATAATATATTGAATAGATTTCTGATGGAAAGTTTTATTTAGCAAAAGATATCACAAGGAATCACAAAGCAAGGATCAGACTATCCAACCATGGAAGATATATGCAGTGATTGGGAATCGTATGACGAAACAGAACAGATGACCCAACAACCAGAAACGAAGGCCTATCATGAATCGATGAAGCCGATTTTACAGCAACATCAAACATCGAAAGAGTCTTCTCATCAATTACATCAACAACAACAACAACAGCAGCAATATCAGCAAACTGCACAGTATAATCAGCAAGTTCAACATTATCAAACTCCACAAAATCATTACCAAATTAAACAACATCAGCTATCCAAAACGAGTAATCTTATGCGATTTCAAAATAAATCAATCGAAAAACAGCAATTGAAGAAGAAATCAAATGTATATTTGAAACCCGACAAATAATTTCATTTTGCAAAATGTTTTAAACTATGATATAACAAAGCACACACAACCATTTGTTACCAGCTTATTGAACTCAATGAATTTTAAAAGAAAGAAATAATTCGATGAAAAGTAGCACCATTATATAAAAGTTATTATTTCGAATAATTTTTGCTTCAGTATTATTTATTTTCGAAACATTAGAATAACAATGAAAATTTGATCCTGAATTTTATCAGCAAATAATTGGAATATATGATTCGATGCACTTATCGAGATTTATTATTTTCAGTAAATATTGCAGAAATAATTTAGAATGATCCAAATACTTTCCCTATATTTCTTCACTCAATAATCCGTGCTCATTAAAAAGATCATGTTTACATGAATTAGGGATATGTTTATGTAAATCAGCAAGTGGTTGCAACGTTCAAAGGAAGATTGCAATTGCACCGTTTATGACCTTTTTACGATCATCGTTTACAGCTTTCTCGGCGGAAAATTACTATTCAGTCTTAATTTGTATTATCAATCATAAATTAACAATTTTCGCCATGATTATTTTTCAATTTTGGATGTTCATAATGGATGGATTCAACGAAAATTATTTTTTTTCGTTCAATCCATTCATTATGAATATCCAAAAATTAAACATTCTTATATTTACAGTCAAGAAGATATAAAAGATAAAAAAGAAATTGCATATGCCAGGAAGAAGCGTAATACACGTGTACTGAAAACTCATCTCCTAAAAGTATGATGTCTCCAATGCCTAACTCATAAGGAGCGTATTCATCGACCACTTTCTGGTCAATACGTTCAAATTGACCGCACAATGTTGTTATATTAAAAAATTTTATTAATTTGCTTGCAATGCTCTGAGTAAATTTCGTGTCAGATGGAGTCATATAAATAAATTTAGCATCGCTATGAGCAAAAAAAAACATTATCAACTGTATTATTAATCACGTCGGAACGCATTATCACAATCATTCTTGACGACTACCTTAGTGATTTTATCTAACTGATCTATAAAATTACTGGTAAATAACCTCCTATATTTTATTGAAAAATAAACATTATCATCAATTGTTTTCTTGACAAGGGAAACTATTGATTTTTCAAATCGATCTGAAGCTTTTGGGTTGCTTGTTATGAAATTCTTTATAATTTAGCATGACCACATTGATTTCATCTTTGAATGAAGACGTAAATTAAATTGTAACCTCATCATCTCCAACAACACAAAAATTGTTACTCCAAATTAGAATTTTTTCTATGTTAAAATTAATTCTGGAAGCTTGTGAAGTCGTGATCAATTTAGTATCAATACTAGAATGATTTTTAGGACTGAAATATTACCATAATGGAATTTGATGGAAAAATTGACTTTTTGGCAATATTATAAGATTAGTTAAAAGTTCGATATTAATTTTCCAGAAAAAAAAATTTTTGCAAATGAACTGGTCCCTTTTCTTTATCTCTCCCACGGTTCATAACCAAATTTCTTTTGGGTACGACAGGGTCATTACCGAGGTATCTTAAGGTCAATCCTAATTTAGAGTTTAACGGGATGTATGTCTTTTTTTAGGTATTGTTAAGTGCATTGGGTAGGTTTTCGATGCTTAAGAGCCATATTTTTTTTGTTCAAAATCAATAATGCGATGCTATTCTTTTATGTTCAGCCGCCATTATATCTTAATTACTACCATCTCTTAATTATTTGTTATCAATGAACTGTGGTGAAATATATGCATGCATACGCAAATATGCACACACAATATATGTAAAACAAATATTTTACATTCACTTAGCATCGTTGTCCATCTTTTTTTTCCCTTTAATTTTATTTCAACAAAAATAAAAAAGCGAACCTTTCAATGTTTCTGGATGATATCTTGGAATATTCGACATCACCTACCCCACATAATTATTTCTTTTATTGATTAATTCAGTGATCTCTTAACGATCACATCTTTCCTTTTCTGTTAACCCTGTCCGATCGATTAGTTTAATCTATCTGTATTTTCTTTAAGAGTTTTAACGTTATGCGCTGTAATAAAGTTTACGTGATGCTCTATAGACAACGAGGTATCGGTTACCAGTTGACAAGTACTGAGTCCCCAGTTTATTCAAAATTTCTATTGAAAATTATATAGAAATAAAAAAAAGTTAGTTTAATCGAAAATTTCTATTGAAAATTACTTAGAAATAAAAAAAGTTGGCTTTTTTAACCTAATTATTGACTGTTCACAAAGATTCTTCGTTCGAGAAGAATGTCCCCAAATCTTTGTGAACAGTCAATAATTAGGCAGTTTTTGTTTTCCATCTGTTATTATTTCAAATTTCAGTTTCACACCGAAATCTAAAAAATAACATTTTTTTTCAACCTCTAAAAATATCGTTTTTCGTGATAGTTGTTGTTATTATTGGTTATTTGCGATTGCAGATGTTTCAACAGTTTTTTTTTTTCGCTGCCGCTCTGTTATTTACCTGCAATAACACGACTTCCTTCCGTTCCGGTGAGGAGTAGTGAATGGAGGAAGAATGAAATTAAATCAAACTATCTATTAAACATTCATGTTTTGTTTAATTAAGTTCCACCGATGTATCGTCCCTTTCCGGTATAGAAAGGACTCAAAAAGGAAGGCAAACATTCTTCCGGAATTTCATGCTTATTTAACGGTCAATACAAAGGCAGAATTTATATTTACATAGTGAGCGGTATGAACAATACAAAAGCTTTTTTTACAGGTGTTGCTATTAACACACTATTAAAAGCAAAGTTCCAAACCTTTGCCCGTTTTCTGACCCCTTTTAATTAGATTAGTGGTTAATCTAATGTATTCATCCTTTAGTTCCATTGTCGCTAAATCTTTGAACATCATTTAACTGTATGGAAAGGTCACCCTTATCCAATTCCGGAAAATAAAACACAGATGTGTGCAACAACCATCACTTCCCACAGATGGTAACTCACTTTTGCGGTGAAATCCGTATAGTTTTAAATTACTGCAAAACCTAATCAGTTTAATCATTCATTCGTTAATGATTGATTAATCAGTCATTCCATAATAATAAAAATTTGGTAAAATTTTGTTTTTGATATTATTCGATTACAATTTACAGTTTTCTCTTTTAAAATGATAGCTTCAATCAATAATCGCGAATACATGAAGCATCGATATATGACACATTGCATAAAGATAAAAAATAACTTATTAGAGCCTTAAACTACGCATCATCAGAAGAAGACAATCATAATTTTTCAAATTTGATTATGAAATATTAAAACAGTATTCAAATGTAAATTATTTACTTAATTTAAAATGTAAATAAATGACTTATATCATCTATTCAATTAATAAATTAACCTCGAGTGAGTAACTGTGCTGCGTCTGGCAAAGAAGATCTGTTATTAATATTTTAAATCCACTAAGTTGTGCTTTGAAACACAGTTTCAATTATATTTGATCCTATTGAGTGTAAAAGCAACGAAAGCAACGATTTTCCCTTCGGTCTCTGGTCTACAGGACTGTTTTACCATTCCACATTAACATTCAGTCTGGGGCGGTAACTTATTCATCACCGACCGAGGTAGACAATGAACCTTGGCCTTACAGCACAGCATCAAGACTACCCGCTCGGCCATCAGCCACTGCCATCCAATTTGCAAATTCCCTCCTAACCTTTGCAGCATTTCAATTTGGTGCTTGATATTTTCACCTGTTTTGTAAATTTCTTCTCTTCAATAAATGAACAAAATACCAACTCTAAGTGTTCCAGGAACATTTTTAAATTTTCATTAAATTTCATCTAAAATTGAAACATTTGCGCGAAGATATGCCACTAAACTTTGGAAATTTTTAATCATAAAATGGTGCGTTTTTATTAAAAAAGGCATCAATATAGGTTGGAATTTCTGGTAATGAATAAGCCGCTTTTCATTTAATTGAAATTCAATTTTTTTTCAAAAAAAATCCCATTCCTTTTACTTCTTTACAATTTTGCTATCGACCACTAATTGACGCAATTTATTTGAAAAAGTGTGGGAAAATAGACTTCTTTCATAGTTAGCAAACATCAAAGCTATTCATTTCATTGTGTATTTGAAAAAGAAACTTCCGCTCCACAAACTGCAACAAACAACAATTATTCCGCTCTCTTCAACACGTCCTTTTATTTGGCGGAACTTTTATACCGCATTATCGCATTACTCGAAATATGAAAAACATCTAAGTCGTTAAGCATTGCAATTTTACAATCTAACTTAACTGTTAAAAATGTACGCAAAATGCGAAATATGACTGGAATTTAAACTTCAAAATATCTATGACCTGTTTAATAAACTAAGCGCAATCAATTTTGAAATTTTGTTCAGGTATTTTAAAATGATTTCACGGATCCAATGCCATACAGGATTGGGATAAAAATTTATGCATTTTTGGCAGTTTTCAATTTCAATTAGCATTCTAACAATAACCGAGCTTTGAAATTGGTCCATACCTCGGTAATAAATAGTATGAATGGAACGCTCAGAATTTCTCAACCCACTTATTAATTGCTTTAATTAATGTAAGTACCGCTTAATGGAAGCCATCGAAGTAGAAAATGGCTAGCATGTCTCAATCTACTCCTTAATTTGAAATAAATTGGCATGATTAAAGTTTGAAAGATACTTACTGTAGCAATTACAATGCTTTTTACTTACTAAAGCACAATGTTTATTATAAAAATTTAGTCATTTAAAAAAAGGAAAATTGTAACATGCGAACAAAAGAGTCATAGAATTTTTATAATTGTAGAAATTCATATAATACAATTATCATTGACTTAAGAATAATAGGATTCAAATCATTGCTGAAATGATAAAGGATGAATTGCAGAAGCACTTTGAACTTATCGTGCCTCTATTATTATTTATTGTTTCGGACATAAGAACACGAAAAAAAACATATTATAGTGAAGTAAAAAAAAAGAAATTGGAAACAATTATATAAAAGTAACAAGTGAAAATGCAAAAGAAAAAAAGAAAAACAACCGCATGCTTGCTAATGGACAACAGTGAAAAGGTTATGCTATTTACAAGTAAAAAGCAATTCCAAGAAATGTCGCCAATAAAGGTAGCTAAAAAGTATTGAAAATAATAGAAAAGATTGAATGCCATATTATTTCAGTGTATATACTTCAATAAAATATCATGCAAAAACTTTTATCATTCATTATTATTCTATTCTACTACTATTATACCTAACAAGTATGGCTCAAATTGTAAATCTGATGACATTCAATTTTCTTCAAAGGCATTTTGTAATTGAAAAGACACAGAGTATCAGTAGCAAAAAGGCATTTCAGGAAAGATTGCTTAAAATTAATACAAATAAAAATGAATGCACAATTAAAGCTTGATTACTTACATTTTATTAATGATATCTTTTTTAAAAAATCAATTATTATAAAAGTGAAGAACTTATAGCTTCCACTTCCACATTCATATCAAATTTAATAAATCTTCCTTACCGAATTTCATAGCTTGATGATGTCAGTTGCAATTTTCGGAATGAAATTTAAATAAGGGAAACTAGTCAAACTTTTGAATTTTGATTAGTGAAATTTGTTGACACAAAATCAGTCGTGGAAAATGAAAAATTCTATGAAAATAGTTTCCAGGAGTACCAATTTACAGATATGCTTCATGACAATGGAAGATGAATATGTTTCATAAATTGAAAAATTCAGCGGCGCGGGAGTAAAACAATTATGCTAGCCAAATGTGAAATAATATATGGAAAGCAAGAAGAGGACAGTTTTTATTGACAGAGAGCAATTACATAAAAAAGCAGGCACTGTTATGAAAAGGGAAAAAATGAAGAATGAAAGGACAGAAGTAGTGCTAATACGAATAATAGAAGCCATCCAATTAACAACCATCACAGTTTCAAGAGATCTATTTCAAAATGGTATTTTATGAACACCGATTTAACACTTCGGAAATTCATAAAGTCAAAACTTTGTTTGCAAAACTTAAGCTAGTAACTCCAAAAGCTATTAAATCGCTAGCTATATCAAACTGTACTGAGATTTCAAAGAAATTCGTACAAATACCATTTCAAAAAATGCGCGCAATCAATTTAACTTTGAGGCATACTGGCTGGAAAACGAACGAGATCCATACAAATAAAATGAATACAAGTAATTAGGTCAAAGAATATGCAATATTGATGAGAGCAGTAATGAAATAACATACAACTATGATTTCATGTGGCAGCATAAAAGTCATAACGTTTATACCTTCATGCAAATAATTAATCAGTTTAAAATATATTTATATAACAAATAGTAATATTGGCTAGTAATTAAGCCACCGTCTAATCGACAAATTGCTAATTGCTCGGCTAATAGAAAACTCAGTTGTAATGTCATTCAATATTGCGAGTCCTATTTCTTGAACAACTGTTTTTCTCCTGATTACCTTGAGCTCAAAATTTGAAAACTAAAAGATGAGATTGTTTTTTGGAAGAGGCTGAGAAAAGGAACTTATAAATTAGTTTGTATATCGGTCACCTTATGAACAACATCTTGTGGCTGTCGTCTAGAAGTATCATCCGGAGCTATCCGATGGTTGATAGTAACTGATTCTGATTTGTTATTCGCTTGTTGCAACATCACTTTTGATAATGACAATCCATCATCAATTTCCTCATAATAACTACCACCATCTTCAGATAATTCTGTTGAAACAGGTGAACGCACACCGTCGAAACGCTTTGAGTGTCGTATATCCATCTAATATGAAACATAAACAAAGAAAAGATCAATTTAGTGAATTTCCTTACTGATTCTGTGTCTGAGTGAAAATATGCAAGAAATTCAATGTTTGCTTCCAAATCAAAAAAATAGAAGAAAAACCTTATTACAGCATTCCGTATAAACATCCTTTTTTAACGATGGCAGCCTCATATTGACAGTAGGTTCGACTGCATAACGCTCATCTTCACGATCTGGATAAAGTGATAATCTTTTCTTGCCAGGTATCTGAAATAGAGCAGCGAAATGTTTTCAATCAAACTATTACACCAACAATTTTACATTATTACATTTTTCATGCAAAGCTTAGATCAATTTCATGATAATCTAAATTGGTGGTAGGTTTGCAACAGATTAATCATTAATTATATATAATTTTCCTGCTTTTTTCATCTTTTTTTTTTCATTTTTATTATTGATATTTTCATGCAATGTTACTGACTTTCGAGTTTAAATATTTTTTAAATATATCAGCGTAGCACTGAAGATTATCGAAATAAAAGAAACAAAACCAAATATAAAAATTTAAAACATAGAGGAAATTTGTTCCAATTATCCCTTCTCTGATCTGGCCGTACAATGACAGTGAGTGAACTCCCACGATTTTCTAATGGTTAGAAATAATTACTTATTGTTTATTTTTATTAATCCAACCGTTTTGCGGTCTTATTAATTATTAATTTCTATCAATCTTATCTACTTTCTATGTGAATAATTCGTTAAATATGAAAACTGATTAAAACAAGATTCTAAAAATTGTTTAGAAGTTCCAAAAATAAACTGACTGTTTGAATTCTATTTGTACGGTCTCGTTCAAAATAGCTAATTTCGGCGTTTGGGCTTGTGCATATGGATAAACATGGCTTTTGTTCGGAATATTTTGAAAGTATTCTTGAATTTCGGTCATTCTGGAGAGCTGGGTCTACTGAAGATGTCCTTCTCACTACTTTTTGTCGGTAAAAAATAACGACAATCAATACTAATGCCAAAATACAACATGAAGAAAGCAATGCGAATAATAGATCTCTGAAGTTTAATCCGTCATTTGAAGCCTGAAATCTTGTAATTTAAAATTTAAAAGGAAGAAGCTAGAACTATACCTGCAGATTAACGGATGATACTGATTAATCTGATTAATTAATTTGCGTTCAGATTTAACTGTATTTGAAATTCTAAATTCAGTATAAAATTCTAAATTCAGTATAAATCTAAATTCAGCATCTAAATTCAGTATAAAATATAGAAGCTATAGTTAGCTGTATTCTTTCAACGCAAATGATAACCTGCTGTTCATTTTCAATCTTTACGACAAAAGTTCTGGTGCGATTATAGTGCTGAAGTGGTCGGCATTCCGATTTAAGATGTAAACAACTCTCACCATAGAAACATGGTGGACAGAGACAATGAAATCCTTGCAACGAATCGACACAAGTACCTCCATTTCTGTAAATTCCAGTTGATACCAACAAAAAAAAAAATAACTTGAATGGAAAAGATGTAAGTAAATTAATCATTAATGATCAATTAGTTGGTATCCTTAATCCAGATCTTCTTCTGATCTTAAAAAGTTGCATCTATACAAAATAAGAGTCCTTTTCTCCTATATAATACGAAATATACCTGCATGAATTATGATTACATCCATTTTCAGCAATTTTACAATTACTTCCTGTAAATCCGATGCGACATTTACAATAGTATCCTCCGCCTTTTACGTCAATACATTGGCCACCGTTCATGCAAGGCTCATTTAAACAAGCACTGACCGAATCCTGACATAATGTACCGCTATATCCATCCCGGCATTGACATTTGTAATTATTTACTTCATCAATGCAACGTCCGCCATTCATGCATGGATTGAGCTGACAAGTATTCCATTTTTAAAAATACATTATAAAACATTAAATTCCTTAACTTATCAAAATAAGCCAGATGGACAGTTCTACATTAGCAAGCGATACATTTTTTTAATTCGAATTTCATTTTAAATTTGAAAGCGAAATTTTCGCAAAATTTTTTTCTGTTCAGCTTTTGTTTTGAGACTCTTTCAAAAATGGAAAAGTTGTACTAAAATGATATAGTCATCATTTTGTTCTACACATTTTCCTCTAAAATTCTTTGGCAGTGGCAGTTAAAACTCAAACTTACTTGTGCACACTCATTAGAGTTCTCTTCACAATGCTTTCCAATGAAGCCAGGCGGACAAATGCAGTCATAGCCACCATTTCTTTCTACGCATTTTCCTCCTGAAATGAGTAATGTCATTAAAATTTTATATATTAGTTGCTTAAATAAATTTTCAAAATGGTTAGTTAAATCAACTTTACCCAAAAGCGCAACAATAAATTGAATAAGTGACATTGAAAGAAAAAAAATTCAATAGTGTTTGCCCATAATTCCAATTCAAAGATAGTAAAAAAAGTTGAAAATTACTTTAAAAAAGAGGAAAAAGACGTCATGAGAAATAAAGGTAATACTTCGATACGATATCCTCATCAAACCAAGGTTAATTTGGTCAATATGGCAGCTCAGCATGATTTTTTTTAATTGAAAAATGAAAACGGAACAGTAGGTTGGGTTGAATAGTACTGCGACCAGCTGTGGGAGGTCCAATGTAATGAAACACCCTATTAAATTCCCATCAGCTAAACAACATATAGCAGCTTCGTTTTGAATTTAGAGAATTCTTCAAATGACAGGTCCAGCAATAAACTTATTCTGTTACTAATTGCTCTTTTACTGCTAAAAGCATGAACATTTACAAACAATACACTCTTCCCTACACTCAGCAGGCGAACGAATCGGAAAACCTTTGTGTAACCCACGACTAGCTCTAACAAGCGCCCCACCCTGCTGTGATTACAAATACTGACCGACAAGTACTACGACTAACCTGTAACTTGAACTGCATTCATATCAATGTGTTTTGAAAAACAGGAATTCTATTTTAATCTATTCTATATTTGCCATTTCGGTCATGGCAAGCAATACTATAGGAATGACTGTTATATTTAACTGTTAAGATCTTAAAATTTCAAGAACTAGAAGAATAAACTAACCATTAAAACAGTGCACTCCATCACAAGGTCTGATCTCGATATCGCAAGTAGTACCAGTCCATCCTGGTAAACAACTACAACCAAAGGCTCCACGAATTTCCATACAAGTAGCACCATTTTGACAGGGTGAATCAGAACATGAGCTAGCAGCAAATTGACAGTAGCGACCAGTAAAGCCCTTTGGACAAATACACGTATAGTTGTCTCCAGGCATATCCTGAAAGATACACAATCCAAAATGGAAACAGCAATATTCAAGAAGCATCAATAAAATTTTCAAAGCAATAAAATAAAAACATGGTCAGAATTAATTCTATTGCACAATAGAAAAAAATAATGCTGTTCAAACGATTGATTTCTGAAATTCGTAGATAAAAGTGTAACATACAGCACAAGTAGCTCCATTTGAACATGGCTGCAGCGAACAGTTCTGTACACGAATTTCACAGTTCGTTCCTGTATATCCATCTGAGCACTCACACGTATACTGCCCATGTCCTGTATTTCTACATGTTGCATTATTTCTACACGGTTGATGTCGTGTGCAATAATTCAAATCTATAAAACATTTTATGAAAATCAAAACCATAAATATTATTTTCAATTTCATCAGATGCTTATTGAACATCTGCACAAGCAGCATGTAGGATGAGTAAACACTACTTTCAACACCTCATACATGTGTTTGCTAGATTTAATAATTCAATTATTAATAATTATTCCTTCAGCAGTTGAATTCTAAAATGCCTGATCTGTCGAAAAACAAGTTTCGAGGTATAGTAAACTTTGAAATACCTTCGTTGCAAAAATGTCCACCCCAACCTTCATCGCAAATACACTGATTGGGTAATTTGCAGGTGCCATGCTTGCAGCCCGGATATCTTACACACTGGAAAGAAGGCATTCAACATAGAATACTTCTTGAATTCAGAATAAAAGATCGTTTATATTTTTCGATTTTTGTATTCATTTCTCTTTCCTATAGCTACTGTTATGAAAAACTACAGGAAGCTTACTTGATCACAGTTCGGTCCAGTCCATCCGGTTCTACAGCGACATGAGCCAGGTCGGTCGCATGCGCCATTGATGCAATTATCGCAGCGTGCTGAAGCTTGAACATCTTGTTTACTGCATTTGAAAATAATTCCACAATGCAACGATCATCAAAAATATCTTCTCTAATAAAAGAATATTGTAATTTCAATTTTTTATTCAGCTACTAATTAAGTATAAAACAAATAAGGAAACACTGATAGAATATTTTAATTCGGTCACAATTTGTTCATTAAACTGACAAATTTTATTGAAGAAATTGAAAAATGAAGGGATTTTAATTCAAAAATCAAGGGCTTTATGCGAACTGTGGAGCGAAGCGCATCCTTTTCTAAGAAATTAGTACATCTTTCTATTTTTTAAATTCACTATACTTTTCAAAAAAAACGAATTAGAAGTAAAAGTATTTCTTGACGCTTCAATTTATCCGGAAGGATTCTGTAATTCTCGTTGTACTAATAATTATAGAATAGTAAACAAGAAGAAATACTACAGTTCAGATTTTTTAAACATTAATGCATAAATTAATGGGAAAAACAGAAAAACACAAAATTTACGAGTTCGAAAATATACGAGGAGTTTTTTATTGACTTTTTTCTCACATGATCTTGTGGAGATTTATTTTTTCACATTTCTGCCAATACTGACCAATCTTTCTTTCCAATTCATACAATATTAATTGGTTAATTTTTCTCTGTTTCGAATGAATCACTTCGAAAATAGTGAAAGAAAGAATTTTAGTTCCAATAATGAGAAGAGCAGATGGCCGGAAAAGGTAGAATGAGAAGTCAAAGGAAAAAAAGGAAACAAATATAATGGAAGATGACCTTCGAAGCAATACTAATTGCTAACTGTTCACACTTTTTGTGTCAAAATTATGTAACACATGCCTTTTTCATTCTTAGCTTGTCTTCCATTATTTGACGTTTATGAACTAAAAATTTGTTAAAGAACAGCTGTTTCCTCTTTCTTCTTTAACTTTCTATCTATTTGTATATATTTTTTTAAATTAGATTACTTTTTTTCCGCAATCAATTCGACATATGTTAGCCATCAATAGCCATGCTCCTGTAGTATTTTGGACAATTTGCTTTAAAAAAAAAGTAGGAAAACGAATCCATTTTAATGATTGTAAACAGTCTATCAGCCAGTCACTTCAAATTTCAACCAGAGACAAAGTAAATAGTTAATTTGGTACATGTTATTCAATATGCATTAGTAAAATTTCAAGAACTGATCGAAATTCAGCTCCTTTCCGGTGATGGAAAAGAAGAAACACAATTTCTATGTTAGTGCGATGCTCGTTATTGCACATTAGTGAAGTTCATAAACAAAAAGGATTACGAGAGGTAAATGAAGAATTATAATGATGGGAGGGACCTTTAAGAGGTGCTTCATATTAGAAGAGTGGAAAATAAGTGCGTATCATCTCACATTATGCATATCAACAATGATCTACACTCCTATCAATCCAAATAAATAATAGCGTGCACCGTAAATGCTTTCAACTCTATCATCAATATCTCGGATACTATATGGCAGAAAATTTTATAAGAAAACTGAGTTCAACATGAAGTTCAGCTTGGAAATGATAGCATATTATTTTGAGCCTTACACATTATAACTCTGCATTACTTATAATCACATTTTGAATATCGGTCACATATATTTGAAATGTGAAACGCTCCAAAAAATAAGTGATTACCCAAAGGGTGATATGTGCCTAGGACCTACATAAGTTATAGTTCATTTATCAGAATTAGTCTAAATCTTTAATGGATCCATTCTTCCACTCCAAAATTATTAGAAATTTTATTTTCATAGATAATAGGAAGTGGGAGTTACTTTTGATCTTGAAATTAATGTGAAACGAACCAATGTCACAACTCGGTCCTTCCCAACCAACTGAACATGACAATGAACCATTCGATGTACACTGGAAATGACCAACAGTACTGGACATCGGCTGACAAAATGTAAAACATCGCGGTCCATAATAATCAGTAGCACAGATTATTCTATAAGCGACACTCATTCGAAAACCATTTGTACCAATAAGCGTTTGTTCAATCCAATTTTTACTCGGAGGTATATTTTCACGTTGGAAGCCATCATGAGACATTAGCTTTTTTAGATCTGAAATTAGTAATGATAAAATTTCGGGAATTTCCTCACAAAAGGTCATAAATGTAGCATAGGAGGATGGATGCATTCTAGTCTAAATGGCGTCATGAGTTTTATTGTTCATTAAGGTCACTCATATGCCAGAGAATGACATCAACTTTTAGATATTATTGAGAATTAATATCATGAAAGATTGTTTGAAACTATCTGGCAAATGTCTTTATCGCTGTACATATTAATCCTCCAGAAAATACATGAAACAAAAGATAACGAAATGGAGGACACGACAGATAAATGTATTGAGATTTAGCAGTAGAAGATCCGCTGCCGATACAACTAACTGAACTGAAGCCATCAAAAAGATGCCGTACTTGATAGCAGTAGCGATTTAGTAAGTTAATCCCGTCTAAACACTTCCATTGCATACTTCCACAGCTAAACAATTTTACACCTTGTTGCTCAATGTAAAGTTTTAAATATAACAGTAACATTCATTCAAGGGGAAAAAAATTTTAAAAAAATAAACATACTTCCAGTTGTCCTCCATGCTTCCGTTATTAGTGTAAATGACCCCTAAAAAAATTAAAAATTCAACATTATGAATGAGTAAAAAAATAATTTGAGAAAAGTGTTCATCATTCATTCCTTTAAAAAAATAAACACACTTATTTTAACTTGTGTTTTACAGCAAAATTTAATATAAATTTAAATTTTCCACTTATTGTTAAATTTTGTAAGGCAAAAAATCAATTCAAGCATGGAGGGAAAGAGATAGAGAAGATAGGAATGAAAGGAAGAAAAGTTCACTGTGATAAGGTTAGCATTTTTAGTTTTATGCAATTGACAGATTTCCACAGATTTCCACACACACACACACACACACACACACACACACA